GACATTTATTTTGTACTGTTACAGCTGTTTGTTAATAAAGGTGCCTGTGTGACAATTGGGACTAAGCTTTGACTCAAAAATATATTTTTGTTATTACTTTATGGAAAGAAAAGAAAAAACAAAGTAAAAGAAAGTATTTATTTTAATTTTACAATTCAATTATTTATCCAACAAACTGGCCTAATTTTAACTTTATGCTTTATTACTTCATAATAGGATACTTAATGAATTGTTTCCACAATTGAAAAGAAAACTCACATAAGCCTGCACACTTGTGTTTGAGTTTTTATAAAATTGGTTAAAAAATACATTTTTTTTCTTCTTTACATAAATCCATTTTTTTGCCCTTTAAAATATCAATAAATATGAATAATAATTTGATATTTTAATTTCATAATAGCACACCCTGGCCGGAAAAGCCCCCTCCAAGACCAGGCTTGAAGTGGGCCATGGGCCACCAGTTGATAATCACAGTTTTAGCAGGTTTTGCAGCTCCGTAGACATTTTATTTAGTATACAATAGGGCAGAAATGGTTCTTTTGATCATAAAGCTTGCACCTCTGTTTGTTTTTTAGCAAAACATCAGTTCGACTTATGGCTGGGTTTTAATGAAACTTTCCAAAAATAATCATTAGATGTACAGCTACATCTAATTAACTTTTGGTGCCAATCCAATTCAAGATAGCCAGGGACCTTTGAAGACATTAAAATGGGGAATAATTCCATCGGTTTGACAGATATTGATATAGATGTGGTGGTAGTTGAGAGTCGTTGAACGAAAGCTTAGCCTAAAACCTCAGCGTTAACGTTTGAATATATTTAAATGAAACCGTCAAAGGAATCATGGGACGTACATCTGTAACTGATAAACTTTAGGAGTCCAGTTCAAGGAGGCTGCCACAGCTGATAAATACGAGCCAACACAAAAATAGTTATAACGCTGTCAGTTTGACATTTATTGAGCTAAAATTTGGTGTGGTGGTAGCTGAGAGTCATTTACATCACATTATCTGAGTGTGATGTCTGGCTGTATCACACAAGATTGCATACAAAGGTTTTATTCAGGAGGATTGACTAAAACAGCCACAACTCACATCTCGATAGAAGATGGTCTTGGTTAACTCCCCTGAAAGGTGTCGGGCGATATGCATTCCTTTAACGAATGTTCTAGATTTAATTGTTACACATGTGGGTGCTTATCTCCTGCAGTCAGAGGGTTTAAGCACTCTGATGAAAATGAGAGAACAGTGAAGTCTGCAGTAAGAAGGTAGTGGACACGTTTATGAGACCAGAACAGCAGGCTTGAATTAGCCTGCAATTAGCCTGGTGACAGCATTTACCGGATGACCCCACCACCACCACCACCCTCCCCACACACATACACACCTCACTCGTAAATAATGCTGCATGGCTGTGAAAACCTTCCAGATGTATACACTCGAGCACTCTGAAGGAGACGTAAAACGGTCTTTGCTTGGGGGGGATGACACAGCAACCACAACCTTGGAAAAAAAGAAAAAACTATTAGTGAGAGAAGGGTGGAACAAATGAGATGGAGGGAGTCACCGTTTTAAGAGATTTTCCACTTGACCCCTCCTCCTTTACGTTTGGTGGCAGCGTGGCTTGTCCCAGAATCCCTGTCATTGTCTCATCGCACATGAGCTGATGCGTGTCTGAGTTTATAGCTGCAGTCTCAAACACATCTAATCTCATGCCGTTACGTTGTCTAATTGTAGTGATGACACGTCGAACAAAGATTTCTCAGATTTTATGTTTTCAATTCAAGTTACTGTAATTTTATGACACAAGTCAGTGCTTGTCAGAGGCATTTGTCGTTTACTGGAGTTGTTTGTCACAACGACGAGCTCGTAAGGAGGAAGTACAAAACGGTGGCTCTGAAGCGCACTTTGCCTTACTTGTGGTCATTTGGTGGTGAAACCTTCGTTTTAATTATTGCAGCTGCACAAAAATACAGCAGTCTCTTGTTTATTTACATCCATAGATGCGTACAGCGAAGATATGTGTTTATGATCTGGGTTTTATTACAACATGAGTGTTTTCTTCATGCTCTGAAAGCTGACAGTATTTTAATGGATTCAGTGAAGCACTATTGTGCTTGCCCTTAGTGATGGATTTTTTTTATATTTGAAAAAAAAAAAATTGGGGGAAAGTAAATTAAGTAAACTTAACTTTGAAATTCTTAAAATGACGGCTTATTAGCAATCATTCAGTTTGAATTTTTACCAAATAAAATGTGACTTTTAAATTATAAATAAAATTACTTTCAGAAGGTGTACCATATTGTCTTTTTTTAAGTTTTTAATCCAACCAAAAATCATATGATGTACATCAACTGATTAACCTGATTCAAGATGGCTTCCACTGCAACCTTAGCTAACAGAAATTGCTATAACGCTATCAGTTTTACAGATATTGAGCTAGGATTTTGTGTGGTCGTAGCTGAGAGTCATCCACAATGCATAATCTGAAAGCTAACAGATCACAGAAGACCTTTGTTTCAAACTTTGACATGGAATTTAGCAGATATTACACAGTTGTCGTTGTTTATTGACAGTTGTGGACAAAAAGTTTCATTTGACTATTTTTTCCTAAGGACTTTATTCAGAAACAGGTCTGACTTACGGTTGCCATATACAATATATACTGTATAGTTATAAAGTAGCAGGTCCGGTTTTTAACTTATGTTTATTCCATGTCCTCCTTGTTTGTTTGTCAGTGCTTCACTGTGGAGTGAAAAAAGAGCTCAGAAAAAAAAAACTTTCACCAGCTTGATCTCCCTGCAGCTGCTTTGGAGCTGTTTTGGGATTTTGGGGTGAAAGTTTTATTTGTTGTTTTTGTTTTGCCACAGAGATTAAATTTAGTCTTCAGCAACACTTCAAACCAGTAAACTAAAATCTACAATAAATATCTAAAACGCATATTTGACATACAGTCCCTTGTTTATCGCGGGGCTTACGTTCCTGACTCCCCCTATCGCGAAGTAGGAACACTATATTTATTTTAGTATTTATATTATATTTTAAGGCTTTATAAACCTTTACCACACTCTTGCAATGTTCTAAACTCCTAAACCTACATAATTTTAACAACATACATATATGTACTACACAGTAGCTACTGCAAAATTGTATATGGGGACTCACCAGCCTTGTTCCGGTTCTGGTCGTGTTCTGATCGGCTCTCTGCATCCACTGAGCAACAAAGTCACTATGAATAAGGACCAAACTTTTTAGATAAGTTTGGATCGGATCAAAATGTTCCCTCCATTTTCACAAGAAATCAGCAGCTGGAAGCACTGTTGCCTTCTGGGTAATGTAGGCTTATTAAAAGACAGCTACAAAATGGTGACGCCTGTCCAAAGTATTTGTTTTTCAAGTGGCGCAGACATTTCGCAGGGGAGGGGAGACGACAAGGGTGGTGAGCATGTCCAAGGACACTCCAGAGGCACTGTAAGAGTTCTGATAATAATGGTATAATCAGCCAGTTCTCTCTGGTGAGACCCGTAAACACTTTTGTGGGTGCTGAGGTCGACCTAGGACAGCCAGAGAGAATCCAGGATTCCTGAAATGATGACGCATTTATTCAGCCGGATCCCTCTGATAGGTCCGCAGACTTCTGCGGTGGAAGAGGGGAGGTGGCAGAGCGTCAGGATTTACTGGGCTTCCAGGTGAATTGAGATAAGGTGGCCTGTCAAGGCCAGCCGGGGAGCTGGATTCAGAATAACATTTGTTTTTGGGACAGGCAGAATTTTATTTACTGTATGCTTGCCTTGAGTCTTTGCTGGTCCTCACGGATCCAGAAACATCCAAATTAAGTGGACACACCACTGGTCCATGCCTGAGAGTATTCCTCGTGATCTGATCCATCCTGTCAGCGAAATCTAGGGGTCTCAAATGGCCTGTGATTCTCACAAATCACAGCCAATTTGCGGGTCAATTGAGTCTGGTTGCTTGAGTTACAGAGCAAACCATCACATACAGCAGGCAGCCTGACCAGGGCCAAATTTGCTGTAGACAACTTCCTTGTTTGTTGATAAACCAGGAACCAGCAAATTCCCAAAAAAACCCAGGAAACTTGTTATCATAAATCCAACTATATATGTGTCCTCAACATCCTCGATGGACAGCAGAGATAGACACATCACCTTCCACTTGCCCCAGGAATCAATGACATATCCAGCTGCGTGCGTGTCATCTGGGCAAGTCAGCTCGCCTGAAACTTGTCTTCTCATCAAGCAAATTTAGTCAATTGCGTTTAGAGACCCGTTGAGAGACCAGATCCATAGCAAAAATTACGTTTCGGAAGATATGTAGAGAGAGGCTCTGAAGCAGTTTCACAGACAGGACAGAGCAAAAGTAAAGTGGAGGAGGGAGAGGAGGTGGCAGTATGCATCTGTCAGGTGCATCCCTAATGCTAGCTCTTGACCCTCCTGATTTTAATCACACTTTTATTTCATGAAGTCCTGCCAAGTTGCCAATGTATTGCACATCTCAAACTTTAATATTTTTCTTCAGTTTTGTTTAATTCCTGAAATGAGAAATACCACTGAGAGGTGCATTCAAATGTGCTCCATCCTTCTGCTGTGTCTTTAGGATCAGTCATTATGGGCGTGTCTGGCTGGTATGGCAATGGCAAACAGGGAGCTGACCACGGCAGAAATGGCCTATGCTGCCATTGGAGAGGTAAGAATATTCAATATTGGCTGATTAGGTTGAATATTTTTTTGTCTAGCTAACATCAAAACGTATTAAATTGCATTTGTTGATCTACAGTAAATGATGCTGACAATTAAAAAATAAAAAGATAAGTAGCTTTCTTTTTTCTCTTTTCATATTCTCCATCACCCTTTTCCAGTTACCACGAGTGCAGTACATCAACTTTATTAGGGAGCAGCCGTCTAAGGAGTCATCTTTGGCCCACATGCTGATGTTCAGTGGTCAGGTCCAGGAAGCTGAGTCAACACTCCTCCAAGCTGGTCTCATCTATCAGGCCATTCAAATGAACATTGACCTTTTCAACTGGGAGAGGTACTCTTTCTGGGTTTGGGTTTATAACTGCAGAAAGATTAAAGGAGGAAGCAGTTTGTCAGTCATATGGGGTTTATTATTAGAAGATTTAAAAGTTGATTTGGGAAGGTAAGCATTAATTCAGTGTGTCGTCTTGTGTCCAGGGCTCTGGAGGTGGCAGTCAAACACAAGACCCATGTGGACACTGTCCTGGCCTATAGGGAGAAGTTTCTGGAGAAATCTGGCAGAAAGGAGACCAATAAGAGGTTCCTGCAGTACTCTGAAGGGGTAGGTTGTGGCAGGTCTCACATCAAATGGCACAGAAATCTCTATAGACAAAAACTAATAAATATAATTTTATCTAATTTTTAAATGCTGATTCAAACAACAGCTGTATCTATGTAAACAGATGTATGTCAGACCAAACACTACTAATCTAAATCTGATTTTTTTACGTGGGTTTTTTTACATCAAATGTCAAATGCTACATATTACAGTCTAGACCAGGGGTGTGAAATCTGGTCCTCAAGGGCCATGGTCCTGCGTGTTTTAGTTGTTGTCCTGCTCTTCAGCAGGTCTTCAAGTTCTTCAGAAGCCTACTAATCATTCATTCATTCACATCGGGTGTGCTGAAGCAGAGAAACCTCTGAAACATGCAGAACAGTGGGTCCTCAGGATTGAGTACCACTGTTTGAGACTAAAGATAAAGGCCTTTAAAGGAGTTGTTCAGTGGAGTTGTTGTCTATAATCAACATCTTACCTGCTGCAGAAATTGCTGAGAGCATTCTCGGTTTGGAAGATCAAGCATGTATGTTAGTCTTTCATGGTCAAAGAGACACAGGCAAGGGACCAATGATCCACATGGCCCCTGAGTTTCAGGTTGCATACTCCTGCTCTGTGCGATTTCAGCTGCAGGTAAGATATTGACTATTGGTAACAGCTCCACAAAATACAGTAAGAACTGTCAGTTACTTGTAATAAAACTAACTACAGAGCTGACTCGTAATGAATATTTTGTGTAACTTCTTGCTTCCCTTTACTTTCATTGTTTATTTCCTGTCCAGCAGCCTGGCTGCTTGAGAACAGTTCCTGCTCTCACCTCTTCATGACTTCTAACCTAAAAGATGTTTTAATGTTCAGTATGAAAATGATTTGGAGTCTTATCCTTCATCCATTTACTTGAGGCAATATCCCTTTACTGAATGTGCTTCTACGCAGCGCTACGTCTCAATCCAACACTGCTCAGGTTATCTCGTTTAATTTTTGTCCAATTTTCCCTTTTCCTCTCTAAGGTTGAAGTGGATTGGGAAAAGATCCAGTCGAAGATAGAGATGGAGCTGTCTAAAGAACGAGAGAAAGCTGCCAGCGTCTCTGTGAGAAGCAGCGTGGCGTCACGCCGCTAATTTTCAGGATTCTCTTTTTTTTGTTGTTGCGGTTTTTCCTGCGTACCTTCACTGCAACTCAAAGTCTTCACCTGAAGCAGAAGTGTAAACACAGTCTGAAAACTAAGGTGATGAGATGAAGATGACTAGGAGCAGGACTCTATTCCTCTTTTTGTGCTGCGACACGTAACATTCTTCATGGCAGGGTGGATGATAACGAGCCGGATGAGAACAACAAGCTTGACTTTTCTTTATTTTAACCAAGCTGTTTTTCCCGAGTCATTGCAGACAGGAGAGTCTGCTTGCGAGACCACAAAGGTCCAGACTTCTGTGAAATGAGCCGATCCTCGTCGGGATCATTCATAGCCAGCAGGCGTTCATGTTGAGGACAACTGCTGCTTCCTCCCTGCACCCTTTATTTACAAGTTGCTTTCCACTGTTTGGCCAATATATAGGATTTATTCCCAGGAATATGTCTGTGACTAGCTTGTCTTCCAGAATGTGCTGTAAACAAGAAGCAACAGTTTCCACTGAGTGGTTTTGCATCCTGAGCTCCTGCGTGTTCTTCCAAGGCACCGAGTGTTTTGTAGTCGTAAGAACATACAGCAAGAAGAGTCTTCTTATGTTTACTACATATGAAAACAGACAACTTCAAACATGAGGGCTCAAGTTTTTTGTTTGTTATGGTCAGCCATGCTCCAAAGTAGACTTTATTTCAGTTATAATCTATGATATACTGTATATTTTTAGAGTTCATATGTTCAGGACTTTACCTTATAAAGTAAGAAAACTTAATAAAATATGGAGAAATAATAATATTCATTGTTTTTTTGTTTTGCCGTAATCTTCACAAAAGTATTTGTTTTTTATTCTCCTTTTTGTCTTTTTTGCTAATATGTGAAGTAGCCGCTTGCCCCACCCGTTTGGCTGAACGGCCGAACATCAGCGCAGCGTCACAACTTATTTATCTCTTCCAGCGGTCAAGGAAGGAGAAGATCTGCCTGGAGGCCCCTGACTCCACCGTGATGTACGGCTGTTAAAATTAAAAAAAGACTCGTGAGTGCTGAAACATCAGAGAAAATTATAAATGTAGGAAAATCTCAATGAGTTCATTCTCTCCTGCTGCTTTTTTCCCCCTCTTAGAAATCTGAGGCGCTTCTAGTCATGTGCTTCTCTCAGTCACTGCACGTTTTTGCTTCTTTTACTCCCTACATCTGCTCATGTTCAAAGGCTTGGATCAAACATAATTATTATTATTAGAGCCCAAAATATTAATCTACTAAAAGACCTGTTGAGGTTTCTTATGTTATAACAATCGAGAGAGGCCACACACATTGAAAAATCTAAATAAAATGAAGCTACGTTTTATTTTGCATACAGTTCTGAATCTTTGTTTTCTTACAAAAAAAATGTTCATAATGTTGTTTTTTATAAAACCTCAATTCTGCACCATGACCTAAACCGTTAGTCTTATTTTAACTTAAAGGAATAGGTTAAGTTTTTCAAGTGGTGTTCTAAAGGATGGTTATGAACAGTGAATATCTTACCTGCTATGGATAGCTCTTTGAACAACCTCAGTTTGCAGGAATAAACTTTCATTCTGGGCAGATGAACAAGGAACAACTTGTCCGAGTGAGACCATAACCAAAGTGGATTGCTGCTGTTCTAAAACTTTTCCCATCTCCCATCAATATTTACATAATAATGTAAAAATTATTTTTATTTGGAACTTTACCACAATATCCAAATTTTCTGAGACTGATTTTGGGGTCTTCATTGTCTGTAAGTCATAATCATCAAAATTACAAGAAGTAAAGACTTACTTTCTGAAGTAAACAAAAAATATTGAACATTTTCACAACATTCTAAGTTTTTTAGATGCACTTGTACGTGAAACTGACAGTGGTGAAAAGATGCATAAAATAGGGCTTTTATAAATGGCAACAACATGTGTCAGATTAGTTGTTTTTAAACAGCGGCAATACACTCAGGTTCCTGCTCAGACTAGCCGTTAAACTGCTCAGGGGCTGGACATCCAGCAGTTATAGTCATTAAATAAGTTTGTTTTATGGTTAAAAATCTAGTTTTATTTAAAAATCAACCTGTTGGTGGGCCGAACTGAGTTCAACCATGGGCCTGATTTGGCCCACGAGCCACCATTTGACTAGCTCATCAGTCCAGTCAGTATTAAACTCTAAACTGTGGTGGTTCAAATAGCCATCTACGACAGGTAAGATATTGACTGACCATAACTTTTCACAGAAGCCCACTTCCAAAGGATGTAGCATTTGTGCTAGAGTTGAAATGTATTTACGGAACGATAACGGAGCCGCATTTGATATTTTGAAACTACACAAGGTCAAATAAGGGCTGTTGTTCTGTTAAACCCAGGAGCTGCACGTTGGTTTTCAGTGACTGGTAAGTGCGATGCAGCTGGGATGTCATGAAAAATGTATGAGGAGTAGAAGCCGTATTGATTTGCCCTTTTCTGTTCTTTTGTCCAGTAAGCAATGGAGTAAAAGGATTATGGGCAGAGACTCAGAATCTATTTTGTGTGAACAGTTGTCTACTAAACCTGTTCGCATCTCCTTGTTTTTTATTCTCCCGACTCTCCAGATTTTGTCCACACAGCTGAGTTTAATAGTTGCCTCTAAGGGAAAGCAACAGCAACCATATTGTTGTCTCTTGAAAGGTTTCTTTTCACCGCAGCTTAGAAATAGGAGCCGTTTCAATTCGAGCCACGGCTGGAGCGAAACTCTAAGGACTTACGGTTTGAACCGTCCTCTTTTTATGGCTCTGTGCTCCTCGTGTACCAATCAGGGAGTTTTAATTAGGATTTAATGCTTGTAAAGGCACAAGCTCCACCAGCCCTCAGAGACAGAAAGCCATCAGTGATCACTATCAGCCCGCCCATCAGGATTGGATTACAGAAGCCACAAGACTCACAGCTTTTAGTGTCAGTAGACTCAGAGCTGAAGGTTACTGATGATAAAGGATACCCTGCCAATGGATGGTTTGTTTTTTAAAGGTTAACATTTAACCAAAACTCTACTTTAATCATTGTGATGAATGGACACGTTAGACCGCATTTCCTGTTTTAGTTCTGGGTTTGTGTTAGAACTGCTTAGATGGATCATGAAGGTCGGGATCTTCTTTAAAGCAAAACATCAGAATGCGAACCCATTTAACAAAAAAATGGGAATCATTTCTGTAAATCTATTATAATTAGTTGATCTTTTTAACATAAATCAGTTTACATTTATGAGGCAGCTGTGTCTGAGTGGTTAGAGCAGTCATCCTCCAGTACAAGAGTTGGGGGTTCGATTCCACCAGCAGTCACATGCTGAAGTGTCTCTGGGCAAAACACTGAACCCCTCACTGCCTCCGATGTGTGTCCCATCGGTGAATGATTGTGATAAAGCACTGATTATTCTTGTATAGATCTAGTAGAGAGCTGGGGGTAAATGAGGGCACAGATTGTGTTGTAAAGCACTTTGAGTATCTTGATCAGATAGAAAGGTGATATATAATTACAGTCCATTTAACATTTACTTAAATTTGGTGGCATCATTTTTAAGATTTAGTTATTTAGTTTCGTAAAAGTGGCCAAAAGTTCCCCGTTTCTGGTTGCTCTTGTACAAAACTTCTCAGAGTGTGTGACAGGAAATTCAATACAACTGTGACCCGTTGTAGTCAACAAGAGCCCACGATGCAGCAAACAACGTGCAGTTGACGTAAAATGAATCCACAGAGACCTCATCTGGAGTGTGATCTGTCTGATCTACCTTTAAACTGAAGTTGTCTAACAGATAAGTCATCAGAAACAATAGTTTTATAACTAATCATTTTCATTAAAATTGACCATTTTTATTTTAAGGTTTCTGTAGTGCCTGGAAATCCCTTTGTATAATGTTTGGAGCTTTTGTAAAGTTTTTTATTTTTTCATGGGCTGGAACTCACTCCACACTATTAAAGATAGTTTTCAAACCCGCACTCTCAAACAAAACCAGCTTGTTGTCAGGCCACGTGACAAACCACCAATTTAAAACGAATGACGTACATTTGAAGCTTTTGAGAAATTGAAAATAATTGGAAATTGAAACTTTGCTCATTTTTTGCTGCACGAGTCACATTTAGTCTTTTCTGGAGTCTCACCTTCAAATACCTCTCTTGTGATTTCCTATTTCTGACCTAACTCTGAACTGCACACCTGAGTTAAAGTGATGGTTCAAATCTTTTAAATGTAGCTCAGTAAAATATTCTGAACAGTTAGCATCTTACATGCTGCAGATAACTTTTTGAACAACCTCAGTTTGAAGAAAATGTTTACGTTTGACAGAACTGAAGAGCTAGCAGCTATTCCATGTGGGGTCAAGTTCATAGTGGATTGCTGCCACCTTAACCCTCCTGCTGCCCTTGGGTCAAAATTACCCACAAGACCTCAGTTTGTAGTACAGGCCTCGTGTGTTGTTTAGGGTTGAAACCACGCCTTAGTGTGCCACGCCAATTTTGTTGTATAAACCCTTGCACCACTGTCAGTTTCTTTCATTTGCAAGCACCGATAGTGGCACTGGCGGTAGACTCCATAAATATCTAAGTATTTCTCTGCAGGTTGATGTAAAAGTTTATAAAACACGTTTTGCGTGAGCCTCTGAAATTCTTGAAGCTGAAGTTTTTAAGTCTAGTTAGTCCCACTCTGACTAGCCATTAGCTCATCGTTCTGATTCAAATTATGCTTTAAATGATCCGAACTCTTGAGGGAAGCTGAGCATCTGCAGCGGTGAACAGCTGGCGTTACTCTGAGTGAAACTATTGGCTCGACATTTATCTTTTACTGATTTTACTTTTCGCTTTGCACCAGGACGAAGCAGACGAAACGACTGCCTGCAGCCTCTGAGCATCCTCTGAGCACCCCGTCTCCTGCCTGTCTGTCTCATTAATATTTCCGGTTCCACGTCTCCATCCTTTCCCTTCTCGGGACACCACTGATCTTTTTGGACACGTTCTCATCAAAACACGACTTTCGTCTTGAAAACCCAAATTTAGGTGAAAGAAAAACGGCTCAAGTTTTGAAATAGTGCTCCTCTGTTGTGGTCTTATCTGTCAGCAAAACATCTAAAACAGAACTCAGCTTACATAGAAAACACTTCTCTTTCAGCTCCAGTGCATACATGAGTAGAAGATTGCTTTCATGCTGAGAAGACATTATTGGACCGGAACCAGAGCTGGCTGCTTTAAAAAATATGAGCCACAGAAGTTATAGTTGACGTTCAGAGAATCCCAACTTTCACTGATTTCACTTTAATGAAGGTTCTGGGTAACTTTTCTGTCCTCAACACGTTTAAGATCATTCTTTGACCCAGGTTGTTGTTTTTACACACAAGGCAGCAGAGACCTCACATGTTAGAAATCAGGTTCATCTCCTCTTTTATTCTCTACATTCAGGATTATTAATCTGTAATAATTGCACTTGCTCCTCTGATGATGGATGAGTAATAACACTGTAAGCTGCAGTTTGTCCTCGGTCTCCTCTTCAGACAGAGTTCCGGGCTGTCCTTGGGCTTTGTTGCGTGCCCGTCTCTTGCAGGTGATCCGGTCTCCGCTCCCCGGACCTGGCTCCGGTTCTTCTGCCCCCCTCACCCCTCTGCGTGTCCTGCAGCAGGTTCTCGTCGGACCGGTCTCTGTGCAGCTCCTGCATGCTCTCCTCGTACGTGGGCAGGTGTTTCACCTCGTCGTAGGCCGGCAGGTTCGGGGAGGCGAAGTCCCCCACGGCGCACGACTCCGGGTACTGGTCCAGGAGGAAATCCTGGGACGCGGACGCGCGGCCGTGGAAGAGGGAGGGCTCCTCGCCGCGGTCCTGGTTCTGGTGCCGGCGGGGCCGGGGGCAGATGATCCGCTGGATGAAGTAGCCCATGGCGAAGAGCAGCAGCAGGATCAGGATGCCCGACAGCTTCCGAGTGAACCAGCCCACGTTGTCGAAGAAGACGTGGATGGGGAGCTTGCAGCAGCGCACGGCCGCGCTTCCGTTCCCGTGCGCGATGGGCGGACAGCACCGCTGGCCGTCGACGCACTGGACCTCCCCGCAGCTCTGCAGGGCTTGGCACGCGGAGATCAGGCACGCTGACAGAAAGGTGCTGGTCCCGCCGCCGCCCAGCAGACTGGGCTTCATTTCTGGATCCTCCAAAGTGCGCAACCGGTGCTGCGAATCCGCTCAGGTGCGCCCTTCCTCCCGGTCACAGCCTCTGCGGAGCCCCCCCAAGCAAGGGTCCCCCCACCCACCCCCAGCCTCTGATGGACACAACCTGTCTGCGGTGGGCGCGAGGAGTGGGGCAGCCGCAGAGTCTGCAGGGAGGATCGATGAGAACGATGAAGAATCTTACATCACTGTTACGTGAGGACATTTCTATTAGGGTCCCCCCCCCCCCCCAGCACAGCCTGTTTATACACTCCTCACTGTCCAACAAGTCATCAGGAGGTGCACAGGTTACTGCAGAGCCCCCATGATTTATGATGTGAGCAGGAGAGGGGGTGACAGGTGGGACACCTCAAAAATGAGTCTGCACCGCAAAAAGTTGATGATTCAGAGAATATGTAGATGATCTGCACAAGAGAAAGAAACAAGGTTGCAATAAGGCAAGGAAATTATCCAATTTAAACCTTTCATTGCACAAAAGTCAATTATAAACATTTTAACAGCAATAATTCACGTGTTTAGTTTATTTTTAATATTAGAATTTGATGTCCACTCTGCCTAATAGATAAACACTGTTTATTGAGTTTTTGCTATTTCAAATGAACAATTTGCGACAAACGAAAACCCTCATCTCATCCCTAATGAACAGTTAGGAGGAAAAATAAATAAAATAATTATTTATACACATGTCAAAACACATTATTGCTGTGGTGCTCAGTTCAGAATTATCTGACACTTTTATACTTTTAACAAAAGACAGAAAGGTATACTAGCCTTACCGGCCAAAATCAGCCAGACTTATTCCAGTTTAGGACAATAAAAACATGTAGTCCATGGTGGTGGAGCTGCAGTGTTAGCCTCCTGGCCTGCAGAGCTGTGAGTGCTGTTAAGTCTTTTTAGCAGGAGAGAGTAAGTGAAGTAGGCCACGCCTGGAATAAGGCCGTTAAAGGAGCAATACTCTTCTGTTACATTATGTAAAATAAAATACACATGAAGTGCAGGGAATCTAAATCTTGAGTATTTTGCTGCGGTCTGTCGACGTCTTTCACACAGAGGGGTCACGGTGTTAGTGAGCTCAATACAACACTGCATGAAACAGGACGCTCCAAATCCTTTTTCAATGGATGTTTTTTTCCAAACAACCTGCTGCCGCTGCAACGTTCACATTGCCAACAAATGTAAATACAGAGAAAAAACATCCTGAAATCCTATATCCTAAAATATAAGTCTTTGATACTGTTTACTTTTTCCTTCCAAGTAATACCAGCTCACAGTCGAGGTTTGACAACAACAGTAAAACAAATGCAGGAAAAAACTTAGTAAAAACAGCTTTATTGTTGTTTTGTTTTTTACAGCACAATTATTAGGGGGGGACGTGCACAAAAAGGATATTGCGTCATCGTATTTCCAGTCAACACCAAAATAAAGTTTAGAAAAATCTCTGTTTTGAAAAAAAAGTTGAGAACATTTCAGTTTTCGTCACCAAAAAAATGTGAACAGGAGTTACAATCTTAAATAATTACTCAAGAGTATGGGGAGCTTGTTCTACAAAATCAGTCAGTCCTCCATTGCTCGTCTACAACTGGTCCAAAATGCTGCAGCCCGATTTTTAACTGGTACAGGCTTTAGAGAGCACATCACGCCAGTTTTGGCCTCCCTGCACTGGCTACTCATTCACCTTCGGATCCAATTCAAAATTCTCATGTATGTTTTTAAATCACTGAACAGTTCCGCCCCATCCTATCTCACTGATCTTCTGCAGCCATATGTCCCACCGCGCTCTCTGAGGTCAGCAGACCAGATGCTTCTCTCAGTCCCAGAAACCCGTCGTAAGCTCAGAGGTGACAGGGCTTTCTCTGCAGGTCCATGACTGTGGAATGAGTTGCCACTGAGTGTCCGGCAGGCTCCCACACTCTCAGTCTTTAAGTCTCGCTTGAAGACCCACTTCTATTCGCTTGCCTTAAACACGGTGTGATTTGTTTTGGTCCGGTCTGTTCTCTACTCTGTTGGTCATTTTAGTTAGCTCCTGCTGCTATTTGTATCTGTATTTTTATTTTATGTTTTCCTGTCTGCTGTGCATGTTTGTTTTCTTTTGTACAGCACTTTGGTTGGCCTTGTTGCTGTTTTAAGTGCTCTATAAATAAATTGGTATGGCATGGTATGGTACAAAGCTGCACATACATTTTTTCGCTATTAGTTTTGTATATTCATCTGAACTCGTTTGGTTTGAAGTAATCCTCCACTAAACTACCTCACCTAAAACACGTTTTTATGTCTTCAGACTCCAACTTTGTGATTTGCTGCCCTCCAGAAGGGTGAAGCAGGCTTTAAAGTCAGACCTCACCTGGGCTCCGTCTGGCTGAAGGGCCACAATAACAACTGAGCAAATGCCTCTGATAAAAGGTTCCGACAGCTCCACGCTTCTCATAAAAAATGAATCGTTCTTGCAGAGCGGGATGTAATGGACCCTCATTATGAGGAGAGACTGGATTCACATTAGTTCAGCATCACCCAAGAGAACCATGTTTCTGCAGCTCCAAAAGATGTAACCATAAAACTAAATCTCCAGTTTAATTAAAAAAAAAAATTGCACAACGTGTTATTTTATACAAAATGTGTTGCTGTGGATAACGTCCATGTCTTAATATGTGTTAAAGCTTATGTTTCTTCTTTCAGACATGATTGGTGGACCAGACTATAAAAAGCCAGAAGAAGCTTCCTCTTTAATACCAAGGTCAGCCTGCTGCCACGTTATGGTTGTTTAAACTCGTCTCCTGGTCTTGTTTTTGATTTTAGTTTATTTGTTTTAAGGCTTTAGGTTCAAGAGAGCAGTCCAAATCCGTCGGCCAACCGCGTGGCTGATTTGAACCTTATTTCATCTTTTATTAGTTTGAGTCGTGGCTCTCAGTTTTCTTACGTAAGTAATATTTCCATTAAACTGGTTTTAAAATGTTGTAACCATCTGCTATTCATAAGCTATGAGTATTTTGAGCTTTTTTTTTTTTTTTGATGAAGGCATCGTTTTATATTTGGGGGCTTGTCCGGGATCTGAACTCAGTGGGACCTTTTCCCAAATAAGTTATAGAGCCTGCATACAGGACAGCTCCAGAGACTTGTGGCAAGTGGATACCAGATGGTTATGACATTTTAAAATAAGTTTATTTGAAATTATTTTTTCAAGCCACATCTTTCCAAATAAAGGAAGAAGGAAACTTGGGTAAAACCAGCCTAACAATTGATTTGTCAGATTCTAAAACTCAATCAGCCAAAATCAAGAGCAGGACGGATCAGCACTAAATGGTGTCAAACTGGTAGAAAGGAGGTGGTGGAGCTTGTTCCTATTGGTTTTACTTATGCCCCTTTTCTGTGATTTCGACACCTTTCTGTTTGGTGTAACACCACGTGGGTTCATAGTCTTTCCACTGTCTGTTCCCGTCCACGTTCAGCTTGGTTTATAGTACGTTCCTCACGTGGTTCAAAGTGTACTGCTCCAAGCTGAAGAGTTTGAAGTCAGCAGTCTGCAATCCGTTGACTGACCAAGGAGCCACCTCACTGGATGAACCAAGGCACTACCACCTTACTTCTGAACCACATTTTTCATTTGATAGTTGCTACACCCCCATTGAGTCTCTTTGCATAACATTATTTGGAGTTAGGATAGTTCATTATTTGTGAAATGACAACACCCAAACCAATCAATCTCCTGGTCAAATGAAGAGGTTGCAAACATTTGTGTGCTTGTTGCACAACAGCCACATCCAAAAAGAGCTGGACTGAGCCGCTCACAATGAAAACTACACCGCGAGTTGTCGGCGATGATGGCCACGCAAAAGTACAATAGATCATACAAACAATGCCGAGACAATCTGAAAAAAATAAAGTCCGACTACAAAACCGTCAAGGACCATCATGGACATAATGGTTCTAATTGGAGGAACTGGAGGTGGTTGGAGAGATGGATGCCGTCTACAGGCACCAGCCAGCCACCAACAGCAGGTAGAGAGGCCTGGACTTAGGTCCAGGGGTGCCCAATACGTCAATCACAAAGGCATTATGGGTAGATCACATGGCATTAAAAAAATAGACATCAGCCTGTTTTCCATCCTCACTATGAAATTTGTCATTTGATTGACATACAGGGCAGCCAGTCACAGCCCTCATTCTCGTAAACCAGGTCTCAGAGTGAAGATTTTCAGGCATATCTCCAATAAATATTGAAAAAACACTAACGTTTCCAGCAGTTGTTCTCGTGTAAATGGGGCTTTATAGTAGGTATAGGATTATATAGTAGGTAGGATTTTGACTTGGTCGTTTTAAAAGTAGCTCGAATGCTAAAAATGTGTGGACACCCCTGGCAACTGGTACACCTTGAAAAATGAAACTTTTTAGCTCATTTGTTAACTTTAGCAAGTAGGAAGTCATGCAGTGACAGGGTCTGTTAAGCTGCTTAACAAGTACTGATTTGTACCAGATTAAAACAGTCTTTTTATGGATGCAGTGACTATCATTAGTTTGTGGTCAGATTGATCTGCCAACATCTCTTTGCAAAGACCGATTTGAATTAAATCAGAAGCAAATGGCTCTCTCAGAATTATCAGTACTTTAATATATTAGGGGAGAACAAATAAAACCACAGCCTGCAACTTTTCAAAAGAGAGGACCAACTTTTGTCAAGTCATAGTTTAAACTGTAGCGTTTCACCATCGTGTCCTCATGTTTCTGTTTGTCACTAAAAGCCTGTATGTACCTTTCTTTTCCAAAGAATGCCTAATGCACATTGCCTGTAATGTAATTATGTGAGCATTATGATGTTGGATTCAGGACAAGCCCAGCATCGTGTTTCTTTCTGTAATCGGCCTCAATTAGGGAAACATGATCGTAGAGCAGTCCTCTAATCAAATAAACAATCAATATTCAGTGGACTGTGACTCTGGGAGTGAAGAAACCCCCTTTTAGTCCAGTTCAGTTCTAGTCAG